AGCTTTAAAATTGTTACCCTAATAAATGTGCATGTTAATCTTGATCTGGATTCAAAAAAATGCAAGGAACTGTTTGTTACCTGTACATTTATGTGACTTTAGTGTACTGGTAAGTTCATTAAAAAACTGCCTTATGCTGATCAAAAATATTATCAGCTGACAAAGGATTTGCACTTTATTTCAGAGACTAAAACAAAACCAGAAATCTTGTGATACAACATGTACTGTAGTTCTACCATACTAATTAACAAATAGATTCCAAGTTGCCGTGCGTCTGTTCAGTAATAGATCACAGATGACATCAAAATGTGGTAAGAACAAAAAAGCGGCACACGAGGCGCAGCTGAGTGTGTCACTGATGTTCTTACCACATTTTGACATCCTCTGTGATCTATTACTGAACAGACGTACGGTAACTTGGAATCTATTTGTTTTATATAATAAAGAATTAAAAAAAGTTTTAATGATGATGTCATCTATACGTCTGTCCTCCTATAGATCATAAGTGAGAACCAATCAGAATGCGTGCATAACTGAGCTTGAATTATATAATATACTGTCTCACATATACGTCATTGTAAAGATCAGTTATTTGATCTCTATGCATGTACAATCTTGACAAGTGTGTGGGTTTTTTAACCCATATAAATGTTGCTCAAAAAATAACATTTTCTGGTAAAATTACAAAGTATTATTTTAAGACCCTTTGTATCAACCTCCCGCACAGCAGACTGGCGCTCTACCAACTGAGCTAACCAGGCGGCGGTAAATTATTATATAACTGTACATATACATGTGATCATTCCTATCATTCTTGGGGTTACCATATAAATGTTGCTCAAAAATACATCTAGTATATCTTTGTATTACTACTCCCAGGAAAGCTAAAATATTGTATGAAGGTTACATGTAGCTCAGGTTGTAGTGTGTAATTGCTGTGCATGAAGTTGAAGGTTTGTGCCCCAGACTGGACCAACAGTCAGGGTGTTAAAATAACCAAGGAAAATGTGTGGCAGAGACATCTGCAAATGATTGCCCCTCTAGTTTCCTCCAATAAGGACAATAAATCTGGTTGTAATGTGTGATTGCTGTGCAGAAGGTTGAAGGTTTAAGGTTTGTGCCCCAGACTGGACCAACAGTCAGAGGGTGTTACAATAACCAAGGAAAATGTGCAGCAGAGACATCTGCAAATAATTGCCCCTCTAGTTTCCTCCAATAAGGACAATAAATCAAAGGCCCTATCTCCTACATCTTCTCTGTACTGGGTGGCAGCCAACAATAAGAACCCACACACTTCTTGCAAAGAGTAGGGAACATACAGTAGCTCTTTGTGTTGTGGTCTAGCATTGTTTCTAAACAATTCCTAAATTGGGGGCACCCAATAAAATTTCCCTAAGAACAAATTGTAAACTGCTTAATGCTATCTGGCCAAAGTCCTCCACAAAGTGTTGTAAAAAGCATTAGAGCATATTGATATAGAGATTCTGCTGTACATGAATAAATCCATCTTTACTATTATCATCATCAGTCATACCTTGTGAATGAATCCAGACAATCCAAAAGTCTCTGCCTCATTACTTCAAAGTCTGCTGTAACCGTTGGTTCAGTAGATGATGCATTCCTGGATGGGCTGCTCTCAAAGAATTCTCGCATTACCTAGTAAATGTTAACATAACATGTGCCAGTGGTTGAGACGAGGTCAAATTTAGCATAGAAGGACAGGTACATGTACATGTATGACAAACTGCATACATGCACATGAACACCTGTCCTCTCCTGGTCAGCATGAAATGAGAATGTACTGAGAACTTACTTTTGTCTCACTACTCATCAGCCAAGTAATGAGTTTAGGTTTTGTTTCTCAATCTATTCTGTTACCTATGACATACACTGTACAATTATATAGTTAACACACATTACGATATACATGTGTATAACTTTTTTTGTTTTATAGGGGATTTAGAGATGCACAGACTGATTCTTATGCCTTACTGCACCTTAAAATAACAGGCGCACTGTGGAGTTGATAGCCAGATGGCAGAAAATGCTCTAAGCTGCTGTTAACAATGGCACCCTCTAAGGCCGGAATCAAAATTCCTGAAGGATCACGGGTAAAGTAGCCTGAATTTTGTGGGTGCTTGGAGAAAAAAAAAGCCACAGAACTGTGAAAACAAGCAGTAGAGCTTTACTGCTATTGAATAAATGTTCAATCCTTCAGCTCAAAACTGCTGGAAAACCATCAGCAAAACTGTGTTGGACTGCATCACAATTTATTGCAATTGTATCATTTTCATGTCTCTACTTGTAAATATTTGTTAATGATCAACAACTGAAGGCAGCAAAAAAGAGGTTTGGTAGGCCCTGAGGATCAGAGAGTTTGTGGCCTAAATTTTGATTTTGTAAGCTATTTTTATTCAAACATGGAGATTATTCTGGTTTTCCTTGAAATTGTTCTCCTGATACAAGTAGTTATCAATATATAAAAATTGACATAAATTGTGTAAATGCACAGTACCTTGACAGAGCTGAAAAACATTTGCACATATCATGAAATTTCGCAGGTTCATGCTTAAAACCATGACAACAGTAGACTAAAATGGTAGAACCAATACATTTTGGACACCATAGTCTTATTTCTGCACACTTAATGAAATTTAACAGCAAACCATGGTATTTTGATTGCAACAAATGCATTTTGCATAGATTAGGCTACAATAATATGGATAAAACAGTTTCAATGGATGAAGGACATTAAGCTGGCTTTCAACATTCTTAAAACAACCACCACATTTATTTGTTTTTATGGATTCATAAACGTATTTCTGACATACGCAGACCTTACATGCACGTGTACTCAGCTCTGTCCAGACAAATGTAGTTGAAAAATGCAGGATAAGCATTATTGGTCAAAGTATAATAAAATTTTAGGTTTTACCTTGTCAAGTTTAAACAAGAAGACAGGTTTTAATGAATTCCATGGAAATCTGTGGCAAAGAATAAAATAATATGTTTTTTTCACAGATAATGTCTAATACATGCACTAGAAAATTTCCCTGACAACTGTTTGCAATCAAACTATACGGATGACAGAAAGTTTACATAGAGTAGCCATCCCCAAAAATATATGTACTTTGTGACAATGGTTTAACTTTCATACTGAAGAGAGAATGATAACACTTTCAGCAGTGACCTCAAGACAGTTCTACAACAATGTTGGACACAAAGGTACACAAAATAAAAATTTTGAAAAACAGTTGAAGTAATTTCTCAGTAGTGCCTAGCCCAGCCTGTAGTTCAACTGTGTGATGATTTTAGGCACTCATTATATAGCAACCATTTTGTGATAGAAGATTACCAAATAATGATTTTGGAAAAAAAAAAAAGTTGAACTTGGGGCACCAAATCCCACCCATAACTCCTCCTGAAAAAGCATGTCCACATTCCAGTGACATAGCAGATCCTTTTTTCCTCATTCAATGAACAGTCTGAACTTTGATAGTGTTCGCAATGGCTTGAAAAACATTCAGCAGTCACTGATATACATGTATACCAGCATGTAGAAAATTACTTAAAATTTTCCCTCAAGTCAACAGATTTACCGGTAAATTCACCAATGTTTGGAACTGTTAAGACAGGCTAATATGATTTGTATCCTGAAATTTACTTTCCAGAAGGTTTTACCTAACAATTTGGTGATTCATGATTCCATGGTGCAGCAATTCTGCTACAGTTCAAAGTGAATGCACAACATTTCCAGCCATGCATTCTGCAGTTTAAAAATTGTTTCTGATGGGGAAGTCTTCCACTAAAACTTAGTTTGACAGAGCTAAAAACGCCTTCACCAAAGTAAAACTAGGTCATATGGGAGAATGCCTACACCAGCAGCCACAACGAGAATGGCCAAAGAGTCTATCGATTGCAGAATTTAAATGAATAACATGGCCTGCTTATCTCTTTAGTTGCCAAATATGAGTAGTTGAGAAGTTTCTATGTAAACAACAAGAGGAGAGGGTGAGAGCTTGGGGCTGGGTGGAAAAAAGACGGGGGGGGAATGTGATTTGGGAAGGTGGGCTGGCTTAATTGGAAGAAGAAATGGGTATAATTTGCAATTTGACTTGCAAGCAACAGGAAAGTGCTGATCAATGGCCATGTATGTTTTTCCAGACTCATTGCAAGAGAGACCCTTTCAGCAGTTTTTGGGCAAACCACGTTTTAAATCCGCTGGCCGGCCTATCAGCCAAATTCTGACTTGAAAGTAGAAGGACAATATTGCTGCCGGCGTGCAAATAGTAAACATAGATTTGACAGAAGCATGCAATCTTGCCGGCTAATCCTCACCTTTACGACGGAAAATATCAATGGATCAAAAATTTGAATTAACTATACGCGAGAGAACCTTGATCGTATTCATTAACAAACACATGCGGCCTTCTGTAACAAAAAATTAACATCTCAAAAATGACATTACGTTAGCTACAGAATTATTTGACAGATGAACACTTACAAGACTCTCCCTGTTTTGGCGATGTACAAGAGCATGTCCTCTAATTCTTGTGTAAGGACTTTCTCAGCATTTGTTGCGCTCTCGAACTCTGCCGGACAAATCGTCAAAAGAACCGCGAATATCAAAAATGGTACATTGAGAAAATCCAATTTCATTGCCCGTAATTCACCCAATTTCTCACTGAAACTTACCATGCAGTGCTTGAAGGATTTCTTCATTATTCTCCATCGTTTTAATGAGCATCGAAACAGATTTTCGTTGACGATTACCACAAGAAATGTTGCGAAAAATTAAAATATTCCAAACTCTGTCTGAATCGCGGACAACAAAAATGGCGCCATTGAAATTGACGTCATAGTTTCCACCGGAGGTAGTCCCTTATGTCTCCATATTTGGAAGAGATTTCAAAACAAGTTTCTAACACGAAATACGATTGGTTAATTTATGTGAGAAAACCAATCAAAAACACCGTTCTTTAGGTGAAATTTCTTGCTTACAGAGGATAATTGGCAATTTCCAAGATGTCGACTAGCAAAGGAGATACGATGTTTGGCGGCTCAAAACTTTCGAGTTTGGAGGACGATTTCAGTTATGGAGTCACTGTTGCCCAGACGAACATCAATATCCGTCTTGGTTAGTGTTACAGAATGTTTCATAGCTTTTTTTTCCAATGACGATTTTCGTCAGAATGTTTCTCTCCTGGAAGATCGATAGGGAGTTTGAAAGTGAAACCCTTTTTGTTTGATGATGACTTACTGTTGTTACTAGAAATTGTGAAGAATTTTTTTTGAGAAGAGAGCGGAAATAGCCAGATAGATTTTAAATGTTTACACATTTTGAATCAAACTAAAATTTTTGTGTTCTTATTCTGAAGATGAATGATGGTAAACATTATTTCTGTGTACACGTCATTTTTTATATACCTCGTTTGGAGTTTTGGTAGATTTTCGCAGTTCTTACTGTATTTTAAGTGGGCTATGATGAATTGTGCAAAGCAAGCTCTTCTACTTTTCCGTAACATGAAACTACATGTAGAACACATGATAGTCACTGTATATATGTTAATTTTGTGGGAAGGTAATAGATGAGCACATAGGCTATTATTATTTTCACCTGAAACTTTAATAAAAGCAAAAATAATCAATATTCCAGTTCTTCAATGCGTAGTTGCTTGCTTGCTTTATTGTTTCCTTGGAAATTATATTAGCGGTAAGAATTGTAGAGGTATTAATTTTGTTAGAGAGATTTTCTCTTCTATGACCTGCAAGGCTTCCAGAGCAACACAGCAGGGTCTTGAAAGCACCCCTAATTTTGCTTATATACACTGTATGCCTGTCTAGAACAAGTTTGGTGGCGTCCATTTTGTTACTAAATTGTAATCATCATTTATTGAGGTTATTCCACTATTTAACTCCCAAACAAATTTGTAATTCTTCTTACTGTCAGCCATGCAATTCTTGTAATGTTAGTTGAGACAATTTAGTATTGAATCATCTAATTATCACAAATTGATATTATTCTTTATTCTTAATACTTATTTGGTTGATATAGTGCTGATATCGTAAGGATAAATTCTGTTTTGGACACTCAGGGGAGTTAAAGGGTTAAGTCAGTTGTAAATATTGAAATATTTAAATACAGTAACTATAATTGGGCTATTATTAACTTATTTTTCCATAAATTTCACTTATGTTTGAAAATGAGCTGTTTACTTGGCTAAAATATTGAAAAGATAAAACCAAATGGTCATCATCAGGATAAATCATTTCTTACCCAAATGATGACCAAGTGTCTAAAATGTTTAGTTTTCTACTTTTTAAAACATTTTGGCCTTGTAAATGCATGTAGTTCATTTACATAATTATTGTTTGTCTAAATGGCTACATGTGTACAGCACACGTTAAAAATTTACAAAAATTTTACTTTGCAGCATTTGTGTTACCCTATAGTACATATCTATCTTTGTCTTACTTCTATTTATCATATTCTATTAAAACTCTCATGCCCCTATAGTTGGTTAATTAAACAAACAAAGCAAACAACAACAAAAACAACAATAAAAAAAACAACAGAATCATCAGTCTGCAGACCTTGGAGAGGATGTTGGCAATTACACTGAGAATATAAAAATCAGCCATGCTTATGCATTGAAATTTTGGGAAATTTCTATCTGATTTATTCCTGTTTACTGAATTGCTTATTTACTTTAAAGCAGCATCTTTTTTCGACAATTCAGCCAAAATTATTTTTTTTAAATCAAGCATTTGTTGATGGAAAAACTTTTCTTTTTTTCCTACAGGTTTCCTCAGGAAGGTTTATGGCATTCTTACTGCCCAACTTATGCTCACCATTTTTGTGGCGGGAGTATTTATGTACACAGAAAGCATCAAAACTTTTGTTCAGGGAAGGTACTGTGTGGAAAATCTATAATTTCAAATTGTAATTGTTTGCCACCCAAGAGTGCTCTCTACATCTTAATAGTCTGTAAAGCAGACAAGGGAGGAGAATGAAACAAATTATCAATTAGGGAATATTTTTATACAAAGCCAATTTCCCAGCACCAGCTACTAATTGTAAAGACTGTGTGGTTATCTGTTGATAGAATCACTCTGCAGATCTTTTGATAACTACAGATGTACAATATACTTGTCAATGTCAGCATCATGCTATTTTGTCTACGCAGTGTATGAGCCTTATGAGCACTTTCATTAATTGTTAAGTACTTAGTTGAAAAAATTCCCCAATGAGGGCTGTATACATTGGCACAAGCATGGGTTGAAAGTCCAGTGCATAGAAGAAGAAGTACTGAAGAAAGATAATGGGTGTCTGCACATGGCAATGATAGCATAGAGTTCCAGAATGATACTGTTTCTAACTGTCTTCTGGTCAAAGGTGGTTTGAAAGAGAAAAAATTTACCAATAGAGACTTTCTAGTGCACATTTAGAGAATTTATCCTCATATTTATCATTTCTATTTTCCTGAAACAATGTCTCTCATAGACCTGAGGTTTTGATGATGGCATTTATCCTGTCACTTGGTCTGCTAATTGGACTGATGTTCAAGCGCAAAGAACATCCAACCAACATGTACCTTTTGGGTGCATTTGTAAGTTTGAAATTGAAATTGTACTGTAAAAAATATCAGTTTTGGTTAACCCTTTGACCCCTAAGAGTGACTGGCATCTAATTTCACCGTATAATATCACCCCTGAATCAAACACTAAGGTAACATGAACAAAGGAAATCGTCACCACCTTATGGAGCTCTTGATTTTGAAAGAAATTCTCTGTGTCAGCAGCTTAGGAAATGTATAGAGTACAGTATGGAGAATATACATGTATATGTTGTGGTTCAATTTTATCCTTGGTTAAAATTTTCTTTTCTTTTCTTTTTGGGTATTGTAATGTATGATAATGCATTTGAAACAAAGGAAAATAAAATTGAAATCAAGGAGAAAATTAAACCACAACATATATAATGGTGGTAGGGTGTAAAGGGTTAATGGTCACCAAGCTGACTTGCTGACCCCTGGTTTCTCTTGAAGCTCAAACATTTAGGGAAACTGAAAAAGTTATCAGAAGCTTAGAGTAAATGAAAAAATTTCATTGAAATTTGGGGAGGAAAGGGGGGGTTTATTTTATCATTATTTATAAAATCAACATTTTAATCTAATTTGTTACAAAACATAGAGGCTAAGAGAAGTTTATAACACTGCACCTAAGTTTAATTTATGCCATTCCTCTACCACTAAAACCCTTAACTGGACTGACAATGTTCTTGTATTATAAGAAAGAATTTAAAATGGATTAACAATACAAATAAACATTTAAAGTAAGACTCAGTACCATTTGGTTTCACCTGTTGTGTATTGAGACAAACATGGTTTCAGTAACTGAGCTGAAAGAATATTTAAATAAGCTGAATAGAAATGAAAGTTGGTGGCCAGATTGAGTTAAGAAAGTTGATCAATGACTGAAGTTGAGGGGAAACGGTTCATGGTACCTGTAGATTGGGGTGCAAGTCAGTGAGGGTTGGAGTTATTAGGAGTCATTTGTAATTATACAAATATTCTTAGAATGGTGCATTTTATTTCAGACACTATCAGAAGCTTATACTGTTGGTACACTGGGTAAGTTTTGACATCTTGATCTTACAACCTAAGTGGTACTCCTATATCCTTGCCATGGGTATAGAAACACCTCCCACAGCTAGTAGGCTATGGGTAACCTTATAGAAGGCTTTCTATTACAATGCAGGCTAAAGAAAAATTAAAACTTAGGCAGGGTTTGAGACTAAATCAAAATTGCTGCTGAAGGAAAAAAAAAAACTGAATGGTATGGGATTGGGTGGTATTTCCAAAAAAGAAGATGGAAAAGTTTGGGTAGATGCCAATTTTTTGTTTTCCCTATCACTATACTATTTTTTTTTAAATTTAGTTTTCTTATCATTGAGAGATTCCTTTCTTGTTGTACTTTTGTGGTCAAACTGTGTAGTCTTGAACCCACTAACCCTTTTGGTAGAGCATGAGGTGCTGTTTGATGAAAATAGTGGCAACTGTACACCTTCCAAAATGGCACCTTGTGTGTGTACACGTGTATGGAATATCAATCCTCTATCTTTGTTGTGTTATTTTTCCAATTGCTTTTGGTTCCTGGCATCCAGTAATCAATCTTTTATACCACAAGATTTCTCAATCAGATTTAAGGCAACTTGTTTCACTGGTGGAGGTTTTCCTTTATGCGATTCTGGTATCACTTTTATAGTACCAATAGACTAAACCTTTAAATAAGACAAAAAAGTAAGTAAAGATAATCTTTTCCATTACAGTTACATTTTATGACCAAGTGCTGGTGCTGGAAGCATTTGTGCTGACTGTGGCAACAACCACAGCATTGACAATGTACACAATGCAAAGCAAGAGAGACTACAGTTCGTGGGGTGCTGGGTATGTTTGTTTGTTGTATTTTTTGTCAAGATCAAGATCAAGCTTATGGATACAAACTGAAGCTTGTGATAGTCAATTCATAATCACATGCAGTACTGTAATCAAACATTGTATTTCTTCTTTATGAATGGACATCCCTAAATTGTCTTTTTACCTATCACAATAAATATAGGTTAATTATTTGTATTAAGGTATGAATGAGGTTGGGGTTTGGACAATCAGTGGACACTTAACACTATTCTATAAGCAGGTAGTTTGTTTAAATGAGATGAACAATTTTCCAGCTTTCAAAGCTGGAAGACTTGACGCTAATCCTAAAAGGCATTAATAGCACAGGTCTCTGTTGTTTTCAGGGTGAAGGTGATGAAATCAACATTGATAGTTCCTTTTTTTTTTGTCTACAGCCTGTTCACTCTTTTGTGGATCCTCATTTTAGCTGGGTTTCTGCAGGTTGGTTTATGCAGAAGCAGGATACTTGCTTTAGTAAAATATGAACTACTCTTACTTTCATTCTGTGCTATATCTTGCGTTCTTCTGTAAAAAAAACAAGCATTTCAATTAAGTTACTAATTGTTTTATCTCTCTACAACTTTGTTTTTCAGTTTTTCTTCCACAGCGAGACCTTTGAGCTTGTGTATGCCATAGCTGGTGCTCTGCTGTTCTCAGCTTTCATTGTGTTTGATACTCACATGTTAATGCACAAACTTTCACCAGAGGAATACATTTTGGCGTCAATCAACCTCTACCTGGACATGATCAATCTCTTCATCGAGATCCTGAGAATCCTAAATTCTATGAAGAAGAACTGATTAATTTAAAATGGCCGACACCCAGCCTTTTAAAAAAAGGCTCTCTTGCAACTGTCTCTTGGTTAATCTTACTATTGTATTTCCTGTTGTAGAATGATTCGTGCTAGTTTACACTGTAGTTGAAGGTCAAATGATAATAAGTTAGAAAGAGTTTTCAATGTATTAAACTTCTCAGCTTGGGGAACTGTAGAATGAAAATGCTACACTGAGCTATTTGACGATTTTCTTTGCAAACTATGTTAACATTCCTGCGTTGTTTCCTTGTTTAGAGAAGTTCAAATTTTCAATTACATGTAACAGCTGTAAAGGGGTCTTGCTTTCAGCAAATGTTAAAACTTTTTATACAACGCGTCAAATAGTTTACTCGGTAGTGATTTGATTTCAATGCTTTAGATCTGTGAAATGAAGAAATAAAAAGCGGTATTATTGTCAGCCTGTTTTTGCATGTTTGAATAGATGTTTAGGCTTGTGGCCTGATTAGCTAAGTGCTGGGAAAGAGGAGTAGGGGCTTCACTTCCTCTGTCTAAATTCCCCAATATTGGTTGTAAACAAGGTAGGGTTTAGTAGAGGGTGGAGAGAGTTGCACAAAGACTATGACCTTCAGTGTTGTTTTTGTCGACCACCTGGTCGTGGTAGTGCGTCAGATCGTAACCAGAAAGACTAGAAAGTATTCGGACCATTGAATGAAAGAGCTGTAAGAATATTAACCCAAACGACCCAAATGGCGGAAACGGTGAAAGTCGTCAAATTTTGGTGTCATTTTATGCCGTTCGAGAAGGCGTGAATGCAAGCAATGAGCCAGTACACAAGGAAAAATTTTGTGTACCAGTTAGTGGTACACAAAATTTTTCCAAGGTCATTAGAAAGACCTAAACGAATTCAAGAGCCACGTTATATCCTTTACTGACATGAAGAAGATGTCGCACAGAAGGGGATTGCGCAAAGCTTTCACATATATATTGCCCGTGCATCAAAGAATAGTAAAGGTAGACGTAGACATCTACTCAATTCGTAAGCAATACTCCAGGAGCCACGAGTGGCCACAAATTGAAAGATAACCAAATTAGCAAAGTTCATACTAGTTTACGCGAGATAACCAATGAGCCATATATGAATTCAAACTACGAAAAGTGTCAAAACTACAACTACTGACTTGTTAAACAACAAACTATGATGACTGTGATGCTCAGACGAACACCTCATGTAAAATTGAAAAAATAAAAAATCTTCGTGAACAGAACTTCGAAGGTGAAGCAAACAACAAGCTATTGGATGAAGAGGATACTCAACGAAGCAAATTGAATAAATTGTGTTGAAAATCCTGATTCTTTAAGTATTATTTGTTTTACTGTGTGCGATACTTGTAAAGTACGATTTGATATTGCGGTACGAAACCCGAGTAAGCACTCTCGGAGCGTCTGGTTTCAACAAGTAAGTCGTCTTTATTTGTCTAAAAAAAAGCAATATGACAAGCGAAACGTAATTCATTCCAGGATAAAAAACGTTGGATGTAATATCATTTTTAAAAATACATCCGATGGATTGAAATCTTACAGTATTAGCTTAACGTATTTACGCCTTTTACGTCACGCGTGATTAGTTAGAAAAAATCTCCGTGATGCGCGCTTTAAGATAACATTCAGCGTGATGTGTGATTGGAACCCCCTCCCCCCTCTTTGCAACCCTCCTTAATAGCCGACCGATCAGAAACGAGGGTACAGTTTGCCTAAGTAAGACATCAGAGTTTACAGCAGTATTTTTCGTGATAAAAGCTCATGGTTACTCGCCAGGAGGTGGTGGAAAGGCTACAATCCTTACCATATATGAGTTGCTTAAAACGTGAATTCATGGGTGAAGGGGATCGCTGTGAGCGGAAGTAGGAGGCTATTTCTAGGACTCGTTTGTGAAATTTTTAATTCAGTTCGTCAGGGAGAATTTGAACGTTTTCAATTTCATTTATTTATTTGTATTTTATTTTTTTGGCGGGGTTATATTTTGTAGTTGGATATTTGTAAATATTTGTTTTCAGTCGAATCCCATCTTCATCCACTTCTATTTGGAAGAATAAATATCTGTACATTCATTTCGTGGCGTAGAACTTGCAGCATTTATCTACAGCAATCATTTATTGAAATAATAATCCTTATCACAATGTCATTGCTGGAAAACCGAATTGATATATTTTGATTTGCTAATTCCATAAACCCCATCGAAATTCAGTCAGCTGATTGGGAAAAACTGCTAGTTTTTGTTTGAGTGTTTTGGCCTTATTTCAGTCTCCCTGTACAGCCTGTGGAAGGTGAGCAAGATTGTTATTATTATTCGCACAGTTGACATTTCCTGGAAACAGATTTACATTTGATCCGCCGAAATTGCGGTGAGTTACGTCAGCGCTCAGGATTTCTTGCAGTTGTTGTACGGTTATTTGTTGTGTATTAGATGCAATATGTGGTAAGTTGCCCCCAATGACAGCAAAACTTTCTATGCCATTAGCACCCACGCAGCAACCAGCGGTCCACATTGAGTGTGGTATTACTATACCTGGATTATTTCCTCCTAATCGCTGAATTGCTGGACCCAGGCCGAACCCCACGGGGTTCGCATGGTGAAGCTGAACGAACGAGGGGCCAGTTAAAAGATATAACACTCCATTCCTATGCGCTTGACTGGTGCAAGTGTTTCGAGCGTACCTCCGTATCCTCATCTCATATCGGGACCATGAGCCTTGGTTAAAGGGTCTAAGCTGTGGAACAGCATTTGTGTACTTGTAAGTTGATTTATAGTGCGATCGATCAATCGACATAGTACGTGCAGGGACCAGATGACCTCTGTGAAAAGGTTGATTGTGGTACATCTGTTCGCTGCCTTGCCTCTCTATACCTAAAAGAAATTAACTTGTCATCTTATTTCAGATGGAGAGGCCTTTTTTTGGGCTAACTAAGGAAAAGAAGCTGAGGGAAAAGACCAAATCTCGAAAAAATACGGACCCTAGATAAGCATACCATAAATCAAAAAGAAGATCCTTCTCAAACACTTGTGCAGACAGGGCATATCGCTAGCTATAAAAAGTATACTTAACATGTTCCCTCATAATTTATATCAGGCGTTTACTAATATACATGAAAAAATTACGCGCGTCTGATTGGCTAAAAATGAGTGCATTTTTCATGTAACACGAGAGCAAAGTTATAACGCACGAGTGTTACTGAAGTTATAACACGAGTGCAAATTACAAATTTATTAATGGCGTGTGCGCGCTATCTTAACTTTCTCTCATGTATATTAACAGCAAGCCCAACATGATTTCTCGTGCACTTTGGTGTGTATAAACACATATAAATTTTTCCAGGACTACAAATTGTAAATTTTATTGTCTTTGAAAAATATGAATAAAGCACTGAAAATTCAATTTCTCGGTCTGAATATCTCAATAAAGTTTGATGAAATGTTAAACGATACATTTGTGGTATTTTTGTTTTGTTTTGGTTTTTTGCCTTCATGGGCCGTTTGAAGCGTTTTCTTACGAAATTAGTTTTGACCTCCGGACACGAATACATGGTGTGGTCAAACACGTGAAGATTCCACTTAAATTAAGTATTTCAATAGTCTGAGCAAAAATCACAAAAACGCATGCGCAGAAACGTTTAGTAGGAGTTTGAGGTATACTCGGTCTACTGAACTCATACAAGAGTTAAAAGTTATGATCAAGTATAATGCACTATAGAACCTCTCGTGCGACGGATTTTCTTACATCCGCTTCTTTAATTTACTCTAAAAAGAGTATGGGTGGATTTGTGAAAGGAATCGAAAGCTTTTATTCCGTTCCCATAGAAAAGATACCGTTTTTAACTATATCGGACTTAATGAGGACGGAGGCGATGTCAGACAATAACGTAAGCAGTAATGTTCGAAAACAACAAACCGAGTTAAAGAGAATGACTGAGAGTTAATCATAATTTACCTCATCAATTTTCAGTGACTCTATCAAGGAGAAGCGTAATCTTGACGTCCTCCTTGTCTCTGGTAGGAGCGCTTTGTATCCATATTTACAGTTTTCTTTACACAACGTAGAGAATATAATTGAGTTGGGGAATTTTGGAAACGTTTCTTTCTCTTTTGTATAGAGAAATAAAACAAAGAGAATTTTTGATCCTGCAAGAGAGCCATGGACAAGTGGTTGGAGCTTGACTACGGATCCAAAAGTCCAAGTTCCAACCCTGGCTGGGTCATTGTGCTGTGTTCTTAGGCAAAACACCATATAGCCTGTAGTGCAGGTGTCTTATTAGGGCGAGCTAACGTTACAGACTCGCCATCGATTATCTGACCGGCCATGTTTGATTTATAGTTAGAGTGGACGGTAGGGTTAGGGGGCGGGGAAAGGACGTAATCTTTACTCTCCCATGCGGTCGATGCAATGAAGGATAAAAGTACGAACTTGCAAACCCCCAGTTCCCTCCTCCAAATGCTCGATTATTTCTCAAAAAGTCAAAATACAAGTTAACAGTGTCACCATCAAGCTTTTCCGAGGAGAACATCTGATCGATGCTGGCCTCTAACAAACTGGCGTTGTCTGTTCTTGCTTGCTTGACTGGTTGGCCGGGGGAATCGGCTTCATGGCCTGTGCAAGTATCATTTGGTCTCCCACTGTCACCCTTTGCCTTTTGCTGCCGGTCATTTTCTCCTTCTTTTGTTACTAAGGTAACATCATCTACTTTCAACCACCTCGTTTCGCTCTTAAGTGTCACGGGATCACTGTGGCTGATAAAGTACTTGTGCATAGAATGATTAGCCTCAAGGATCACCCCTTCGCAGGTGTTCTTTGGCGAGATTTCTTTCTCTTTACCAATTTTAATTGTGCGAACGTTTAGCAAACATTTAGCGTTTCTTAAACAGTCTTTACTACTCCCTTACATTCTGAGCGGACCAAGTTCGTCGTCTTCTTCTGCTGACGAAAGACGGGTGTACGCTTGCTGGTCGAATGACGAAGAAACAATGTTGCTAAGATTACGGGCCGAAAATTTTGACCGCCTTAAAAGCAGGGAAGCTCGAAAGCGTGGGAAAACATCGCCAAGGAAATGAAAGATAAATTCGGTACCAAGAAAACAACAGACAAGTACCAGAAGAAGATGAAGTACCTTGTCGATCGATACAAGCAGGCCAAAGACTGGAACAGCAAGCAGTCTGAAGGAAATGGAAGGAAATCAGCTCATTATGATGAAATTGACGAAGTTCTGGGCTGTCGCGACATCGTTACCTTTTAAAATGTCCGACAAGCGTACAACAGGGTGATCGTTAATGATTTTATGAGACCTAGCTTCTTATAAACTCATTAACGATCGCCGAGAGACAATCAAAGCGTTCCAAATAAGGTGCATCAAATATTACCCAGAACAAGACCCGACCTCACAACCAAACTGCCCGCCAAAACAAAGGAATTTAACCATTCCTTATTCACAAAAGAAGTCATAGAATACAAGAGTACATACAACAAGTTTGTAAAAAATCAGTGTATTGTGTTCAACATTTGGAAAGTTGTGAGAGGAACCCCCCAGGCAGAGAATAGATCTTTTCACTCTGAATCACCCTCACAAATAAATCTTTCCACTCTGCTGGAGCTCCCACATAAATAGGTCTTCCAGTCTGGAGCGCACTCACAAATAGATCTTTCCACTCTGAAGCGCCCTCACAAATGGATTTGGGTGGTCACAAAAAGTTGACGACGGCTTGCCTAAGAGAGGGGCCTTTAAATAATGTCACAAGAAAACGTAAATTCAAATAACAACCAGGCTCCCTGTTTTACATTTTATTTGTATGTTTGTAGAAGAGCACGACTTACGGAGCAGGTTAAATGACGAGAAAGAAAAATTATGAATAATTATTTGATTGCTCGAGTCGACGTATTTACGCGTGTGTGACTGTTTAAAAGTTCCTCTGCTTTATTTTTTAATTCAAAATTTGTTGACCATAATAATGAATTACGCTACAATGTCAGCCATTTTTCTAAAGCTTCTGGTCCATTTTCGTCCCAATCTTCTTTAAAGACGCACAATTCTTCAAACAGAGGAAGCTTGGCGACCACTGAGGCCCCTATGAAAGCAGCATGCTGACGCTCAAGTCCTGCGTGAACCTGGGTTGGGGAGTAACAAGGAACGTGAGCCAAGGGACAAGTAACAAATAAGGAAAACAGCAAGGACTTGAATGAAGTTTATATAAAGTGGTGAATAGAGAAATGATCAGAATCTTTACATAAGAAAATATAATCAACAATAAAAGACGTTCTAATGCAAAAAAGTCGGAAAATAAAGCGTTAAAAAAACACACGAGACGTAGTTGGGAGCACTGAAGAAGTAAGGGAAACACATCCTAAGTGCTTTACAACAGAACAGAGCACAGTTAAGGCTTTTTGTTTTACAACAAAGAATCCGTTAAATTCCCAATGCTTTACTTATACTATTTCCAAAGTAAATTTTAATTTTACGTGTCGTCACCATGTTCTATACTCTCATAAAACTCGTTACGATAAGCCAATCAGAATCCTTGTTAGAATGGTGGAAATAATCTGATCGGTTGAATAAGACTAAAGCTGTCAAAAATGACAAACCATCGAGGTTCACAAACTGAAATAGTTCTGCAGGTCGAATTTGTCACTTGCCTGAACCTTCATATTGAATCTGACAATGAAATTTTCAGTGAAATGTGGCCAAGATTTTCGTCTCTGCTCACGTTATGTGCGGCGCCTGGCATGTTTAGAAACCTTTGTTTGGTTCTTCTGTTGCTACTTGCCGGCTCGCTTGTTCCGAAATTTCACTTTCATTTAATGAAAAAAAGCGAGAGAGAAGTCCGGGAAACGGTCTGACATGGTCCAATTTGGCAGATGGCGTGACAACTTTAGCTCTCTTGTTCTATGTTCTATACTCTAATAGAGCACGCTCTTTCAACCAATGGTAGCGCGCTTTCTATCCAAACTTTTTTACTAATATACATAAACCTAGTAAGGAAGGGTCAAATTCACGTTCTTTAGAGGTGCTACATCACTTAAAATTCAAAGCCTCGAAACTTTTCGAATGTAGTCTTCAGTGAGGGGGGGGGGGAGGGGGAGGGGGGCGTTAGGATTTTCGGTCTTACGGTTTTGGCCATTTTTTAGTTTGATTTTTCGGTCTTTGTGCCAAAAAACTTCGGTTTTTCGCTTTTGGTGTTCGCTGCAGTTTGAGTATTTTCCGCTTTGTAGAATTTGCTTTTCGGTTTTCGTCGAAAATACTAATGGGTTTGGATTTGGTACCTGATGTGGTTTCCGGTTTTCCCTATTTCGGTTCCGGTTTCTACTCGATGTGAGCGGCAATTATGCGCCACCACTGATCTCGAATATACCTCTGTATGCTCCACTTGTCACCACTGTACCGGATCGATTACGGTTTTGTCAACTGGGATGTGAAAATTTAACGGTTTTGACGGTTTTCGGTATTGATAGAATTTTTGCAGTTTTGCGGTTTTGGATGTTTTCTTTTTTTTTTTGACATGGTTTTGTGGTTTCTAATAGACCCCAATGACCCCCTCTTCAGTAGTAGGAACTGAATATTAGGCTATCACCACCCAAAGGCCAGGTAGTGTATGAGAATGTTTCCTGTCGTCCTCATAGTAAGATCAAGAATGCAAGACTGGCGGAATTACGAAAACAAACTTAATCATAAGACTTTAGAAAGGTGTAAATTTTACCCTTAAACCCAAAGGTTTCAAGCACATACACGACCAAAGGAAGTCATTAATTCACTTTCTTTTACAGACAGTGTTTGTGGCTACCGTTTAATTTCCGTTTTAGTTCATTTCCGATTTTACGTTACGTTGCGTGTCACGCGACAATCTCTGGGGGACTGCACGTGCTTTGACATTTTAGAGAAAGTTTTAACTTCGTCTAGCTGTTTTGGTTTGCAAAACAGTTCTTTAAAGCGATTGTGATTGTGATCGTGATTGTAATGTGATCGTTATTGCAAAAGTTCCCTCTTTTTGTACTTTATCTTGTAACGCCACACACGGATTAAAAGCGGAAGGTACAGTGTTCATGATTTACATACCTGAACATGGGAAGTTGAAGGCATCAGCTCAGAAACTTCCTCCTGAAGTCGTTCGGCCAGACCTGGGAACGAAGCACACAATTCTCTAGTATTTTTCATGTGAGAATATTTCACAAAAAAATTCGAAACGTCTAATAGCCCATATACGTTCTTCTCCTTCATTTTATTTTGCAAACCGTAAATCAAAACGTAACATGATACATTCCTTGTAACAATAAATTAACAAGGTTAGGTCCTTACAGTTACGTGATAACTTTCTTATAAAGAAATATACTACACGAAATTCGATCATCGATCAGTTGACAAATCAGAACGTAACACAACCCCAAACAAATTAACATAAAAACAAACGAATTGAGCAAACAGAAAACAAAAGGCAATCAACTCAAAATAAAGACCAAAAATGGAAATGAAAGAAATTAAGAACAGGAGAAAACAAAGATAAAAAAATGAAACAAAAGGAAACAAAAGGAAAAAACAAAGAAAAAAAAAAGGCAGAGGAACAAAATAGAGCTAAAGAAAACCACATGAGTGAAACCAACACAGTACTATCTAGTAATGGTGGTAATCATTTTGATCTAACCTGGAGACATGGACCCTCCACCACTCAGGTAAATATTTCGACACATCTGTTTCCGTATGTCGATACTACAGGCCATGATGGCGTTAACAGTCAGCTGGTGAATACCCGGATTGTCTTTGCCCCAAACGGACGGTTTAAACAGTCCTTCGGTACAGCGGTATCTAGCCGAGTCCACAGTAATTTTCCTATGGAAATAAAAGTAACAGATTATCTTAACTTGCACGGAAAAAGATATGATATGCTTCTACGAAGAAACTACATCGAAAAGCAACTCATAACATAAAAATGCCAAAGAAATACGAGGCAAATAAAGAATTTGCGTGACTTTATGCATGCTGAGTGAAAGTCAATCAAATGCCTATAATGTTTCGTCGAATACTCTTTAGAGTATTTCCACTGCCCGTATGAAAAAGCCACCGAAAATTGCCACTTCTTTGCCAATGAAATTTAGAGAGAAACAAGAGCCGCCATCTCAAGGATGAACAACATTACTTGGAAAACGTTTTGCCTTTTTTTTTTCAGACAGCAGAAGAAGCTCTACAGGGCTACGTCACAACATTCAACGTCACTTTTCAGCGTTCAAGCCTTTTGCCAGGGTAAATACGCCAGAAGAGTAAGAACACTCCAAAGGAAAATTAGAATGATTAGAGTCGGCGAGGATCATTACGGACTGAAAATAACAACCTTGGCTGAATTCTCCGGCTGAAGAAGAAACCGAGACCTATTAACTTCAAGGAAAGAGAATCCCTGGTTGTAACAAACCTTGTGCCATCTGGTATGGAGTACTTTTCCAGATCCACCTCCATTGTATAGTCCGCTTCTGTATCCTCTTGAACATCTCGTTTTGCCACAAGGGATACCTGAAGAGAAATTGAAGAACATCCTTATAAAAATATGGTTGCAAAAAATCAGTCTATCTTGATTAACACGCAATTTTAATGACCATTTCTATTACCACGACCTAACGCAGCTGCCTTTACTTCCATGAAAACCGTGTTTTTCACATATTTACATGTACATTTTGACCAAAGTTCAACAAAACACGTTTTACGACATAAACCAATCCAATTACACCATAACATTTCGTACAAAGAATAAAGTTCGGTGTTTGCCTCTGGACAAATAT